TACTAAGCAAAAGTGTACACTCCCCCCCCCCTCCCCTTCCCAAAAGAATATACTTAACTACAAAATAACTTTTAAAATGATAAATCAGCTGCCCTTTGCTTGCATAATTTTATCTGTGTAGTTTTTTTATGAACAGCGGACGCTCATGATTTTTAAGAGGAAGGCAATGATTCAAATCAGGTGTATTTTATAAGGATATATTGCGACCAAAAAATGAAATGCTATCAATAATTAAGCTTAAAATGATGAAAATCTAGCTCCGTCTTGCTCTTGGGAATATTGAATGCTACCTTAATTCAATTTTTAGAACGAAAAGGGGTGGTTTCTACTTTAAAAAACAGACAAGATTGAGCTTCCAGAATTACATATTATAGATTATTATTATTAGATTATTATTATTATTATTATTATTATTATTATTATTATTATTATTATTATTATTATTATTATTATTATTATTATTATTATTATTATTATTATTAATATCATTATTGTTGTTATTATTATTATTATTATTATTATTATTATTATTATTATTATTATCATTATTATTATTTATCATTATTATAATCATCATTAATATTATAAGTATCATTATTATTAGTGGGTGGTTGGCGGGTGCTCTAGTGTGGTTTGCTTCTTCTTTCCTATCAAACATCTATCGTCCTTCTTTTTTGTGTTTGTTACTCTCTTGTAACATCTTCTGGCGCTCATCTGTCAGTATGCAGTTGTGAGCGCCGTAAAGCCTCTACTAAAACTAAAACTATTATTATTATTATTACTATTATAATTATTACTATTATTATTATAATTATTATTACTATTATTAATATGACAACAATGGCAATAATAACTATGATTATGATACTCAGTATCATTATTATTATCTCAGTACTATTGTCACTTGCGCTCGTCTCTGAAGCGGAAAGTCCGGGTTCGAGCCCAGGTTAAGGCACGGATTTGTTTCGAAACCTCCTGTCCACCAAGCAGTGATGGGTATCTGCCTTCGAGTTGGAGAAGTAAAGGCGGCGTGGAAAGGAACTGGCCACCCCGCCACAAAATGCCTCAGGCCCAGGAAGTTGTCTCACTAACAAGGCAATCCCTAATATCCGGATCGGATGCGGGAACAACTTTACATTACTTTTACTATTATCACTATTATTACTACTATTACAATTGTAATTATGATAGTAATAACCTTTATATTTATTATTACATAACAATAATTGGTTGTTTTTTAAATTAATATTGCTACGTGTACTGTTACTATTACCGTTATCATTATTATTAATAGTAATCGATTTTTTGATTTAATGAAAAGTTCTACAGTCTGTGAGGAGGTTCTCGTGGTCTAGAGGTTTCGGTGTTCACCTCTCATTTGTAGGTCCGGATACCGACGGATTTTTTTCTCCCTCTAAAATGTTCTCCTTTCACATCATTTCCTGCTCTCTAACAATGTTCTGTCGTCAGCATTCGTTTCCACTTTCTTTCTGCCCCCATCCTTTTACCCCCTTTGTCATCTCCTCTGGGCTCCTGCCTTTTTCCTACAGCCTTTCTACTACTATTCCGTGGCTCCTTCTTGCTGCTGTCTTTCAGCAACACCCCTGATCTTATGATAGGTAAGATCTACACCTAGTCTTCTCGGACAAGGGCGAAAACTCTCGGAGACCCCATGTGCAAGTTACGCACGTTAAAGATCTCTTAGTGGTTCAAAATGGATAAGAGTAGGCTTCGGCCGCCACCAGGGCAAAATTCAACATTCCCTACCAATTGAAAATGTTTAATGTGTCCCGCGCATTCATATGACCTTATGCAATTGCGAGCGCTGTAAAACACTTACCCCCAAAAAATAAAGAAAGAAAAAGAAGTGTGTGTGTGTGTTGATCCATCTTTCTGCACCTCCAATTTAGTGTCCAAGAGGACGAAGATTAGAACAAAAGTCTTATAATAGAGTATGTCTTTGGCTGCCACAGATATTAATGTGAGCATCTATCCTAGCCAGTACTTCAGCTCGCATGATGCTCGTATATCCAGGAACCACGCACCGTATATACACCTTGTTGGAACAAAGACTCGTCAAAAAGAGTTCCTATTTGGAAACACAAACTATTACAAGTCTTTAGGAGTGCCGGTGGCGACATTTACTAAAAACACACGTTAATTTTGAGGACCCGTTTTCCCAGAGTGAACTGTCTGGCTGAGTACTATTGCCATTGTTTCTGTTACTGCTGTCATTATTATAATAGAAGTGTATTGCTTCGAGGCAATTTATAATGTAAATGTCATGTCAGCCTACACATTTCTCTTTCCGGTACTGTCCACATCACCTGTCTACTTTTAAAGAAAACGTAACTAAAATAATTAAAAGCTTCAGCGCCTGCCCACTGAGTGCTTATTTTCAGAAATTTCATACGGTGATGAAAAAGAGACGTTTCCATTCAGAGACTGCATTAACGAATGTGAAGCTTCCGGGCTCAAAAAAAGAGGGGAGGCGGTGAGATAGTGCCAAAATGATATTATTATATAATATACCCGACACATCTGTTATCCAATACCAGCCCAATCAAAATCTCTGAAATCAGTACATAAATATAGATTTGGGTGTGCGTTTGTGTGTATGTGTGAGTATGTGAGTGTATCTGTGTGCAAGTGCACGTGTGTCCATGGGTGTGCGTCTGTGTGTGTGCGTGTGTGTGTGTGTGTGTGTGTGTGTGTGTGTGTGTGTGTGTGTTTCTGTGTGTTTCTGTATGTGTGCGCGCACGCGCGCTCTTGCGCACTAGAAGCACTTCAAACCAAAGGCTGACTACAGTCATACAAGTAAATGACATTTCAAACCAGGAGTAATAACACAAAATTTCACACAGTTCTCTTTATTAGTCTCCCCCCCCCCCCCCCCATTTCTCTTTCCCCAAGATTTGTGTCCTTCAAATAGGCCTACTGCGCCATGACCAGTTAATCCATATCGTAAGCGGGATCCACGATAACGTCTCTAAAAATCAACGAACTGGACACATTAGACAGACAGGAGCTTGAAGGGAGTGATCAAGGGTGCTTGGCTGGTAATGAGGAACAGCGACGTGTGGATCGATGAATTAATGAACGAATGAATGAATCACAAAGCAGGAGTGAAACGGCAGAACAACATAAACTGTCATGACCGAATGTACAGGAAGACAGGAGAGAGAGAGACCAACCGGAAGATGTCAGAGAGGAGTATGACAGAAGGGTGATTCTGGAACATGAAAAAAACCGTGGTTAAGAAAAAAAAGGCATAGAGAAAGATAGAAACTGGAAAGACAGTTAGGGGGGGGGGGGGGAGAAAAGACAGGAGAGAGTTAAAGAGCAAGGTGAGAGAATGACAGGCATGAGTACCTCTGTCAAGCAAATAGAAAAAAAAACAGGAAATGTTGTCTGATTTATCGTAAATATTTGACATCTATTTCTATAAAATTTTGATCATTTAGAAGGCGGGCTGCTTCGATCCAAACTGTGTTGGTCAATCCAGGTGTTATCCCAGCAGAAAGTTGGAGATAAATATCGTTAAATAATAGTGCTTAAAGGGGACCTTTTCCTTACGTCTTTTTCGAACAAGGTGAAAACCAACCCTTACATCACAGAGACAAATGAAGTAAGTTAGGGTGAACGAAGTGGTAGGCGTAGGGGTAAGAGAGATAGAGAAAAGGGGGAGGGGGAGAAAGAGACAGACAGACTGACAGACAGATGAGAAAAGAAGGAGAAGAGAGAAAGAGCAAAATAGAGAGAAAGAGAGAGAATGAACGAATCACAAAGCAGGGGTGAAACGGCAGAAAAAAAATAAACTGTCATGACCGAATGTACAGGAAGACAGGAGAGAGAGAGAGAGAGAGAGAGAGAGAGAGAGAGAGAGAGAGAGAGAGAGAGAGAGAGAGAGAGAGAGAGAGAGAGATACCAACTGGAAGATGTCAGAGAGGAGTACTACGACGGAAGGGTGATGCTGGAACATGAAAAAAAAACGTGGTTGAGAACAAAAAAAGGCATGGAGAAAGATAGAGACTGGAAAGACAGTTGAGGGGGGGGGGGCAAAGGAGAAGAAAGGACACGAGAGAGTTAAAGAGTTAGGTAAGAGAATGACAGGCATGAGTACCTGAGTCAAGCAAAGAGAAAAAAAAACAGGAAATGTCTGATTTATTGTAAATATTTGACATCTATTTCTATAAAATTTTGATTATTTAGGAGCCGGGCTGCTTTGATCCAACCTGTGCGGGCCAATCCACGAGTTATCCCAGCAGAAAGTTGGAGATATATATCGTTAAATAATAGTGCTCACAGGGTACCTTTCACTTACGTCTTTTTCAAACAAGGTGAAAACCAACAGATACCAATGAAATAAGTCAGGGTGAGCGAAATGGTAGGCATAGGTGTAAAAGAGAGAGAGAGAGAGAGAAAGAGAGAGAGAGACAGACAGACAGACAGACAGACAGACAGACAGACAGACAGACAGACAGACAGACAGACAGACAGACAGACAGACAGACAGACAGACAGACAGACAGACAGACAGACAGACAGACAGACAGACAGACAGACAGACAGAGAAGAGGGGGAAAAAAGGACAAAATTGAGAAAGAGAGAGAGATGGGGCGGGGGGGGAGAGAGAGAGAGAGAGAGAGAGAGAGAGAGAGAGAGAGAGAGAGAGAGAGAGAGAGATCCAGGCAAAAGAAAGAGAATGGCGGAGAGATAAAAGAGCTAGTGAAATGGTAAAACGATATAGGTTAAACGGCCCTATCAACAACACTCTGTTATTAAGGAGGCAGTCAGGGCCTCCTAGTTTAAGGTCTGTCCCTGAAAGCATCGAACCAAACGGGAAATTCGTGTAAAGTGCCTTTCCCAAGGACTGAGGTGAGGCTCGAACCCCCGAACCCGCAATCTCACGATTACGGGTGTGGTATAAAGAGTTGGAATGAAATGATAACTTCTTGATTTTAAATAATGGAAAGTTTTAAAAGGGAAAAAAACTCACCTTTTTTCGTGGATGATGCTGATGTTTAATCAATGAGAGCTCTGCTGTCTTGACTTTCGGAAGGGGATATCGCCGCAATCAGTTGTCAAGAGATACTACTTCCTGTAGAAGACACTTCGTGTCTATTCGACGATCTAGCACTTGAAACTGTGTCCTGTTAACAGCGATCCCTGGAACCTTTCCAGGCGATGAACACAAAGTGAAACGTCACTTTCTTTATATTGAACCAGTTCAAGCCGAAGAAACAATTCAGAAGAAACGGACACCGTTAGACACTCACGGAAGTTCCCAATGTTGGACAAGGAATCCTATAAAGTCTGACAGTCTTTCCAATTACTTATAAAGGCTATGCTTTATTTCCTTTCCTTTTTCGTTAATAAAATGTTTATGCGCCCTCCTAAGCACAACTGTGGTTGATTCAACAGCTACGCCTATAAAAAGAGGGGAAAAAGTGGGGGGGGGGGTGGAGAGAGTCTGTAGCTGAGTGGTTAATGAGCTGAGGCTCACAATAACGTCGAAACGTGTGTCAGTGCCACAGAGTTTTGGTGGGTGGTCGCTGGGGTGCGTCCCTTTGTTTGTCTGTTTGAGTAAAGAGACTCACATCGATACAATAATGGTTATTTACCCTTGGGAAAAATGAGACAGACAGGCAAAAATAATACAAGGAATGTAAAGAAGCAGGACCTACCAGTAGCACCCTCAAACAATCCAAGGCACGTCCTTGATCAGGACAGGATTACCTTAGTGCAAAAGCAGGGTACTGCACAGTGACAACCAGCAATTGCGTGCGGATTGTCTATATTTGTGATATGTGTATTATTCATGATTTGGGGATTAATGTATTTGTGTTTTTATGTCCGCCATGCATTGTAAAAAAAATATCCTCATGAGTTCAATAAAGTGTAATTCGTCAAGTTCATTTTGTATAATTAGTTGCAACGAAAATATTATCTTCTTCACATCGGTGTCTGTAGTGTAGCGGTTAGAGTCTTCGCTATCACACGCATGAGACCCAGGTTCGATTTCCGAGTGGAAAGAATTTTTCCTAGTATCTCGAGTTTCTGCAGAGATGTTGTATCGTTCTTAGCCCGAGTTGGCCCCAACAGGCAAGATCGAAGTAAAGTATCTTCTAAAGTATCTAAACCTTTATGATGGGGGCCTAAAAACACCTGTTTCTTTTTTTGTTTGTTACGTTTTCTTCACGAGTAAACTCAGCAAACATCGTGGTTGTGTGGGAGCTAAACCGCGCCAACAACTTAATGATCTAACGAACTGAGTTCTCTTCCAGACTTTAGACTTGCTGACTTCAAAACAACAGTCAAGAAATGTACGACTCCCAAAAGCCCAATGTGTGAGATAAGCTATTCCCTGGATGATTTAAACGGATTTTTAAGACTGAAACAGCAGTTCAACGCAGACAGTTGGTGCCTCTATAAATGGTATTGATCCCGACTAATGTTGGGATGAAAGAGGGCTTTGTGTGTGCGGAGGGGGGGGGTAGTTTTCTTTTCATTTGATGATGTTTTACTGGCGGGACAATCAGTTTTATCAAAACTGTTATTGGTCATAAGACAAAAAGCAGGAGTCAAAGTCCCCAGCAATTTTATAATATCTATAGAAGAACAAATAGTTAACACTCTCCCTATCCCCATCCCATGATTTCAAATGTGTTATGACATGGTCCAACTCTTAACCCTTTCCCCTTGCCTTTGCGTGGAGAATACAATAACGTATTATAATAATGAACCTATTCAGTTTAATATTTCTGGCCGAGGGGGGAGGGGGGGACGCGTAGTGGGAGGTGTGCTGAATAATTGCTTTATTTGATATTTCATAGGACCCCTCCACTCCTCATCCCAACCTCTTCAACAAATCAATCACCTGTATCTAGGATTGTCATCCAACTCCCACCCCCACCCCTTCGTAAATATCAGTTTTTCTGTCTATTAGCAGCGATAGGTCACCGACCATTTTTCTCCCTCTGATAGTCACGCTCCAGCTCATGGACTCATGGACTCACAGACAAAAAAGACATGGGCTATTTTGACAACCTGCGCTACAATAACAGTGTGATTTGATTCTGACCCCTTTTCCGATTGATACAACAATTTTCTTGATCCTTCTCTGGTTCCTAATAAAATTTAATTATGCCCAAACTATGGCAAAATCCAGACTCAATTTCTTTTCACTCCAAAAAGCGCCATGCGCCCAGAGAAAGGCGGATGCACAACGATAAATGAATTACTTGGCAGAAACCAAATGTCTCTTTTCCTACTTCTCTTTCCCCAGGTGTTCTTCTTCGTTCTTGTGTCAGACAGCGGGAAAAATCGAGTTTGCGCCCAGCTAGGGATGTGTGTCTTTCCAGAAATGTTTCAAATTAGTTAAGTGTACGTATTTCAGCAGCAGACATAACATAATATTGGGGGAGACACATCCCTTTGCCAGTGTCGCCAGGGCCCAGGGAACAGCCACCATACCATACAGCAATCTACTCGCTTCATATCCAAAGAACATAGATATGGTAATGATATTATGTTTAACCACAGGAGGGAAAGCTGTATGGCAGCATCGAGGATCTAAAGCTGACTGCACAGTTTGTACGCACCACCATATCTTATAGGGGTGCCCACTAGCGAGAGCGAATTGGGTCGGGTCGGGTTGGGTCGGGTCGTTTTCTAGTGGTTTTAGTGCACACTACAACCCCGCCGCGATTGTACCCGACGACATGGAATTGAAAGTAGAGAAACCTTTAACCTCAATAGCTTCCAGGGCTCCTTTCCACAGCTCCCTGTTGCAGTGCTGCGGCAGTCTGGAATCCCATAAACATGGTTACAATAGTTGCATCGATAACTTTCTGTTATCAAAGATCGTTCATAAGAAGAAAGCTCCAGTTCTCTCGGCCAAAAAAGTGTCCGCAGAAGTCCACCATTGGTTCAGATGGTGCTGCAGTCTTTGTTTTGAAGCTCTCTTTCATTTCTCCAGAAGAAGTATAGGAATAGCACAGTTTGTTGGTTTCGCTTTTATTGTTTTTCACACAAGTAGAGTAACTCTGTTCGCAAAGTCTCCACTTTTTCGAAGAGGGCGCCACCGGATTTTGAGTGTCAACATGGACATGTGACTCGGCCTTCTTGTGATTGGCTGCAAACCACCCGATCGAGCGATTCGCAGGCCTGAAAACAAACGGGTTTGTTTTTGTAGGTCACCGACCGAGTCAATAGGTTTGTGCCGCGATGGCCGTTTTGCGCCCTCAATTTGGCTAGCCCCGACTACCGGATCGACCCGACCCGACCCGACCTGACCCGACCCGATCGTGTATGTGGGCACTCCCTATTACTGTCACCCAGATCAAAGAAGGAGAAAGTGATCAGAGGGAGCGGCCACAGCCCCTGCACGTTTGGGTCACAACCGGGACTGCCAGCCCTTCGGGGAGAAGTTGTCCCTTTTGACCGGCTCTAAGGTCGATGTTAATTAAGTTTAGTAAGACATTCGGTCCATCGAAATTCCGAACAATCAACAGAAGTCAACAAATGTCACTTTCAAGTTGTCTAATTGCTTTCAGTATTTTCCTTAACGAATGAATTCGTGAAGGTGTTATTGGAACGGTTTAACAGCTCTACGGTAGTTGAGATGGTTAAAAGTTTCTCACCATTAATTTGAAGTCACGGTAGAGATGAATTCAATGAATTCTACAGCGCTCGGTTTCCAAAAATTACTGATTCAAATTTTCAAAATTTTGAATATCTTGAATTACATGGCAGAATTAGATTACATAAAACAGAACCACATAATCAAGTTCAAGAACGTGGACCAATTTGTTTTAAATTGCAACATGGACTTCTTTTCTTTCTCAAAAACAGATGCTTCTGTGTTCACATGACCAGAACATAACCATGGAATGTTAGAACAGCGCGCGGCACGAGCATTAGCCTGAGTCCTGAGCCAATTGCGAGCGACTCTGAGGGTTTTCCCCAAACTGGCCGATCGGATCCGAGCGGACGGATGGTCATCCCTTAACGGGGAATAATAGTCCCATGCCGTTCCCATCCCATCCCATCCCCCTCTTCTTTTTCTAAACTCACGTTATGTCAATTAACTCTTCTTGGCAGCAAAACAAAAACGTGCTTTTCTGCGTAATTATGCCAATCAACCTGCTCTTTCCAAATTCAAGATTGCTTAGCAACTAATATTAGCTTGGATGAAAATAGCCTCAGCTCGAGCTCCATTTCCGGGGATTAATTAGTACGTTATGCGTCAATACTTCCTTTTCAAACACTCATGTTTCAAGCTGATCGACTCTTACCGCTCGCCAAGATTTATCTTCTACAACTTGTACCAGCTGCTCCTGCCTAACATCATCATTCAGAATGCTTTGGCTGCTGCTCTGAGTTCATAAGAATTTGTGGCATAACGAATGTGTGTTTAATACGTTTCAAGTCAAGAGTAATGAGTGTGTTTTTTATTGTACCTTCAGCCCCTATGCATCCTCTACCTCGCTACAATTAGTCACTTTTGATCTGCAAATGGTACTGTAGTAGAACAGAATGAAGGATACGCTTGGTAGACAGTGAATACTCATTAACAATATTGTTTTCTGTAGACAAAACAATACGTCTACGTAAGATCAGCATCAGGTACCGACTCATGACACCTCGATGATGGTCACTGCAATCTCAGACAACTAGTAGAACGAGATAATTTATTTTATTTGTCTATGGAATACGGAATACAGTATTAAGTTAGTTTCAACTGAACTCACAAAAATTAAGACAAACATAAAAAGGTTTTTATTAGCTGTGTGCTTGTATTTTTTAAATCATTTTTTGTTGTTGGTTTCTTTTGGGGTTTTGTTGTTGTTGTTGTTGTTGTTGTTGTTGTTGTTGTTGTTGTTGTTGTTGTTTCTTTCGTTACTGTTGTTTTTCAGAACTAATGCCTTCTTTTCTAGTACATATGAAGTATGTGTTAACACTAACGTATTGACAAAAAGTGAAATGAAAAAGTTCCCTCCGCAGCCTTTTTGTTTTGTTGTTGTTGTCGTTGTTTGGTTGTTGTTGTTGTTGTTGTTGTTGGGTTTTTTTGGGGGGGTTGTTTTGTTAACGTTAACCAAAGAAACGCAGTATATTTGGTATGGAAGGGTTAATAATGTGTTCTAAAGGATATGTTCGTAGGGTGGGTACGCCAAGCGTTGCTTTTTTTTTATCTATTGTTGTTGTTCGTTTTTGGTAGGGTTTTTTGTTGTTGTTTTTTTTTTTGGGAGGGGTGTTATGTTTTATTTTGTTTTCTACTGGGACTGACGAAAGTTTTTTGAGGTGATGAGAATATACGAAAGAAAATTCTCGTCTAAGTTCTACGGACTGTTATGGAAAGTATATTTCATTATCGCAGACCACTGTATTCTTAAAACAAAAATCATTTGGTACAGTAATTTTCGAAACAGGTGAAACTCCTTTGAAAGTACACAGTTAATAGTTCAACTACACAGAATTGGTTGTTTGCGGTACCTTTTTGTACTGAACACTCGGCAAAAGTTTGACAATTTAAAAAAACAAAAAAAGAAAACAAAGTGAAGAAACAAAACAGAAACACTCGTAAGAAAAGTTCAGGACCTATACTTTACTGACCTCAACACTTGCTGAACAAAGTAGGAACCAATGAGTGGGATCGATGTTTTTTGCTCCTTACTGTCCCGCAATCATCACGCCCTGAGCTCTTCAATGACCATTACTTCCAGACCCGTGAGCTCACGGCAGTGAGAGCGCCTGTATGGCACCAGTTCCTGGTATTTTTCACGGCGGGGGAATCGCGAGTCTGTCGCTTGCAAGGCGAACTCGCGCTAGCTCACAGGCAAAGGGGACTGTGAAGGGACGTAACTCACGGGGAAGAAGTGATGAGCGTGCGCTGGGGTGTGTGGGAATTTGGGGGCAGGGATGGGAGGGAGATGGGGAGATAGGGTGGAGGGAGAGAAAGAGAGATAGACTGAGAAAGAGGAGGAGGGGAGAGAATATGAGGCGATGGAGAAAGGGCGAGGGGGAGGAAAAAGGGTGAAAGAGGGAGAGAGAGAGAGAGAGAGAGAGGGGGGGGGAGAGAACGAAAACAAAATGGAGGAAGGGAAGGGAGGAGGGGAAAGGGAGTGAGGGGAGGGGATGGAGCAAAAGAGAGAAAAAGAGGAAGAGAGAGATAGAGAGAGATATACAAAGAGGAAATGAAAGAAAGAGAAGGAGAGTTATATGTGTGTGTGGCCGGGGGTGGGGGTGGGGGGAAGAATGACTAGTCTGGATTTCTCTTTTTAAATTTTACGTTAAATACGACTGCCTTTGTTCAATGCCTTTTTTTCACCAAGTTTTCTAAGCGGCCTGTTACGGGCAAAAGAAACTTCTTTTTTTGCAAGTGTGGTCCAGTTATACATCTAGTGTGGCCTCAAAACCACGCACTGAATATACTTCCAAAAGGGAATGACCGCTGACATATTAAGTATGGGTACCACAAGAGATCTGTGTTGGCTACTCGTTTGTCTAAGTCTGTAAGAGTTAAGACTCTCCTAGACACAATTGGGTAAACCAAAAAGCGAGAACATCGAAGCAGGTTAAAGTACCCTACTCGTACGTCTCAGATCTTCTTCCACCGTTAGGTTTGGGCCTCCAGGCCTGTAGATTTGAAGCAACTTACATGGCAATTTTTTATTTGATGTCTTATCAATCGAAAGCCTTGTTTGTTAGAAATATAAATTGCAAAATAACTTGTTCTTTTGGAAACCAGCGCATTTGGCTCGGTTTTAAAGGAAAATAAGAACTTTGAAAAGATGGCAAAGGTATGTCATATGCCCCCAAATTAATTATGTAAAGATGTTCGTGTGTAACGTTCCATTATCAGATGGGTTGACCTTCCTGTTTGTGTGTGGCCTCGGTGATCTTGTTGTTTAGTGGTGAGGCTACTGGGCTCATTATCATGAGATTGCAGGTTGATCGGAGGTTCGAGGCTAAGCTCGGCTAAACGTTACGTCCTTGGGAAAGGCAATTTACACGAATAGTCACATTAGGTTCAGTATAGGAGACGGAGTTACATTCAGAGGGAATGATCTGTTAATAACTTTACACTTTCACAAGGAGCGTTACATGTCAATCTTTATCATCCGTGTTATGTGCAATAGGTCTGTTCTCTACCCTATCAACTCAAGGAGGGGGTGGGGTGGAGGTGGGGGTATATATATTGATTCAGTTAAAATAAGAACAATAGTCGTGTTCTCAAGCTGGGGTGGGGACAGGAAGGGTGGGGGGATGGAAGAAAGAGAGAGAGACAGAGACAGAGAGAGAGA